TTCAACAAGCAACCTGCACCATACCTTCCTACAAAAGTACTCTGCCGCCAGCAGTTCCTCAACAACCTGAAGGAGCCAAGTTTCATTTATAGTCCCAGCCTCTTTGAAATATTTGCTATCTTTCATTTAGTGGATCTTGTTTATTTAATACTGTAAGTCCTTTTCTTCCTGTAGATTCATCTTTCTAATACAGAAGGCTTGACATGTATTCAAAAAGGTAACTTTTGTCTTTATGGGAAAAGAAGCTTATTGAATAGCCAAAGGATGTCTTGTACAGGAAAGCCACATAAATGGTGCAAGAAGCTGTGAGAACTGAGCTGTTAAATGGGAGCTGGGGGCTCCGGAACTGCCACAGACTTCCAGGCCCTACGGGGAATACTGAGAAGCACAGAACATTTGAAGAGGAATTGAAATTGTCAGGGAAAGAACAGAATCTGTTCACCCTTAAATTCCTAATTAGAGATCTCATAGTGGGAAGTGGTCCCTTAAATGATGAGCACTGAATATCTAGGGAATAGCCTTCCTTAAGAAATGGGCAAGCGCCTATTTTCATAAATTAACATCCTAATTTACAATAGAGATTATAATGATAATATTTTCAAATTACCATCTTAGTTTTATACATATTATTTAGTTTCTCTCCAGGAATCCAGATAGAAGGGTAAATTCAGAGATGAAGTAAGGCCAAATGCAATTAAAAAAACTCTCCTTATAAATTGTATTGATTCCATGTTGAAAACCCCATAATTATTTTAGATATGTCTTACAGATGACTAGTGTGCTAAGTAAATATTTGGCTAAACTGACATTAATTTTAAAATGCCGTTAATTTTGTCACTTTTCATACCTGCCAGTATTTGAACCCAAAATAAATCCATACTGTATATTTATATTTTGATACATATAAATCTCTGTGGTACAAAAATGAATAACATATATATGGCCACAATATAGGTGGTCAAAGTAGAAAATAAATAGGTTCTAAAATTCTCGTTTTCTGTTTCAGCTCTTATGTTTTAGATATGGCAGGATTAAATGTCTCCATAGGAGCTCTGTATCATCATCCATAGGAACATATAATCTCAAGCATAAAATGTGCTAAAGCATTAGAAGTAGTACACATTAATATTACTGTGATGTAATTCAGTTTTAAATGTACCAAATAACTGGCCTACAAAAATATTGCCAAAATAAGAGATCAGTGCAAAAAAGAAGGATCTGATCCCACAGTCCTTTAATAGTCTAAGGGCTTACTGAGTGGAAATGAGAATGAACACAAAATGTGATTGGATTTAGCAAGCCAAAGGGATGCTCTACTTTAGATTCTCATAATTTTTAGTAGTTATCCTCCAGTAAATAGTGCAGAGAAGTTGTTTTCATGTCAATAGTGAGGTGCATGCTGCCTGACAGCTTGGAAATAGTGTCCTGATGTCAGTTGTGTAAGAAAAATAAGAATATTTAGGGAATTATTACCATCTTTGTGTAAATGAAGTCATGGCACAGGGATGCCAGAAACAAACTAAAAACAAGAGATCTTTTCTCGATAGTGAGAAATTAAACTGAGACATAACTAATTAAGCAATTCGTAGATTAATGAGCTGCATTTTGAAAGGCAAAACCCTGGTTGAGGCTGGACAGTGACAGCAGTAGGATGCAGATTAGCTAATTCTAGAGAGAGTTTTTACTTTTTTTGGGGAAACTACCCATACATTTTGCTAATAAAAACATGCAATATTTTTAACTCTTGCCTAAATATTTACACATCTTTGATTCAAATTTAACCACAATTACAGTCTAATTTGTTAAAATATGTTCCTTTTTCTATGAACATTTTCTTGCCTACACAGATTCATAAATAGTCTACTTATTGAAAAGGCTCCAGATATTATTTCCATAGGAACAGTGCAACAAAAGGCACAAAAAGGGCACACCTCATTGACTTTCAGGTTATATGGAACACATCAGCAAGCCAGGGCAGATTTTCAAAGAGCATCTTCAGTCTGAGATACATGCAGGCTGAAGAGTACAGATTCCTAAATTTCTCATTTAAAATAAAAATGTAAAAAAGCCAAGTGGATTGTCCATGTAGGGTTGGGGTTTTTCCCCCTTTAATCTCAGTAAAAGAAAGAACTTAATAGGAAATCTCTAACCACACAGTAACATTCACAAGCAATGGCATAGGATTTCTTATGAGCTCTTATTTGTGGCTGAATAGCATCTCACTCCACAGGTTTCATTGGACTTCACTGAACAGCACTCACTGAGAGTACTCAGATAATACCCTGCTCCATAAATAATTACAACAGTACTTGATGCAATCAAGTTCCTTGGCTTCAGTAGCACTGTGAAGGAAGGTGCTGTTCATAACTCAGCAGGGATATTAGAATTAAGCTCCTAAGCATTTCTTCAGTAAGGCAAAGAATGAACTGTCACTGTCTCGTCATTCCCAGAAAAACTTTCTGCCTCCATCTGCTCTAACAGTTTATTCCTCAGTGAGGACGACTTGGCTGCCTTGTCTTTTTTGGACACATACGAGACAGATTTCCCTGATGAATCTCCCAGTGTCAACAGAAATCTCCCAGTCAGATTCCCTGGGAAGGACCACTGATAAAGCTCTGTACCAGACCAGCTAAGGACTCAACAACATTTTCTGAAACTAGAAGCAAATGAGGTTGGGATCTACATGCTGCCTAGCCTCACACTAATAAGCATCAGCTCCACAATGCCAAGGCAGATTGCCATGCTCTCCAGCACCAATCCATTCACAGAGCCTGGGTCTGGTTTCTTCTGCACCAGAAATATTTAATGGTAAGAGCCAGACAGTCCCATCCAGCTCTCTCTCACCAAACCCTTGGAACCATTCCTTGGTGGTATGCAATAATTTATTTTATATTTTATGAAAAAAAAAACCCAAACAAAATACACAGAAGAAAATGATATCAGGATTCTAAGTATTTGTTTCTATGAACCAATGTTATCGTATCATCCCATATTTGTTATAGAGAGGTAATCAAACAGGAACATATTCAAATGAAATCTGATTAGATCAATCTAATAGCCTGCACAGGCTATTCATTCTTGGAAACAATCATACTGTTGAACACACTGACAAGTGTAGCTCATGAGCCTTCAGAAGGCTGCACCACTGAGACCAAATCAATCCATCACATCTAGAAAGGGGGTCCCCTCCAGGTCAGGTTTGAAACCAATAGTGTATCTGTCTAGAGAAACAAAAAGTAGCTGCACTTAAATCTTATGTATGAATAGAAAACCTTTTCCCATCCTGTCAGATCTTGTAAATTCATGAATATAATGTACATATGCACAACAAGTACCCAAACATTATATTACATAAAACTAGCTTATTTCTAATAAGATGCTAGATGAAATTATTTAAAACAAACAAACAAAAAAGGTTATGTAATTATGTTTATGTCTTGCATTGCTTCCAGTGTGATAGGATCGCCTGAATAGGGAATGTCTTTCCCAAATTTGAGTTGTATTACATTATGATATTATCGTATACTTGATCTGTTCTCAAACATTTTCATATACCTCCACACACATGTAAAATTACCTGCTATTTTTTTTTTTCCTTTAAACAGACTTGGGAGTACATCTGATTTTAGGAAACAGGTTGTCAATGTAAGAAAGACATTATTAAAACTTATCAAAATTTTTATAACAGGCCATTCTTTGCCATAGTATAAGAGAATTATTTGAAGTAAGAGAATTGGAGCAAGTACCCTATTTTTAGGAATAGGTTAGTTTAAAAGTGACATTAAAATGTTATTAATGCCCTTACGAATATGATACATTTTAGATCTGTTACATTCATCATGTTTATAGTCGAATCATTCCGCAGTATTTTCTGAAAAGAGGCAAAAACATTTTTCCCATAAAATAAAAAAGTAGTTTTCCCTAACTAGCAGAACTTGGTACAAAACTGCTTCCACTGAGAGTGAAACCTAACCCCGATCTTTGTTTATAGAGCTGCATGGTTTCAGAAGCAGCTCCACCTATTGGGTGACAAATGTAGGTTAGTGACTACTTTGTCACCGCAGACCTATTGTAAAACTGGTTTTGTACACAAGGAGGTAAAGCTCCCAAGTTCCTCATACTTAAATCTAAGCAGCCAACTGGTATATTCTAGTGTTCTATTTAATTAGAACTTATAAATTCAAAACGATCATTCAACAGTATACAAACCCGACCACAAAAGCTGCTAGTGTTTATTTGATGAAGCACTTCTAGCAGCATTAAGTGACTCACACTGGTTATAATAACCATCTTATCATGTAACAGGGAACTGCATGATTTTTAGGATGCGCTCCAGTTGCATAGGTCTGCATGAGCTGAAAATGAATTTGGTTATGTAAGCAGTCCTACTAACATTTATATATGAATCCATATTCTGTATGCGGGGTCCCACGTGAATGAACGACTCGTATTTTGTACGGTTTAGGGCAACCACTGAGGTTACCGGTTCAGGGAGAACGAGTCCTTATTAAGGAGAAATTTTGCACCATCCCCTTCCCTCCGGAACAGTTCATGCGAGACCTTAAAGTAACATCTCACATCCCACGTCCCCAGAGATGATCGATGTCAGCACTGCTGGGCAAGGATTCCCTCTGTCCCCCTGTCACCGGCGCACACCCGGTGCCTCCCCCGCGGGGCCGGAGCCCGGCGAGGGCTCGGGGGGCACGCTGGGGGAGCAGAGGCAGCGCGGGCTGGCGAGCCCCGCTCGGAGCAGCCCGCCAGCGCCGGCGGTGGCGTGGGGTACCGCGCATCCTCGGAGCCCGGCGGCTGAGGGAAAAGGGATAGGAGAAATGCTCCCACCCGTGGTGTTGACAGCGTGTTTTCTCCGCGTGGAACAGGCACGGACTGCGCCTGTATATCCAAGTAAAAGGGATCAGAGAGACCAAAACCGGACCCCACCGGAGCCCGGGGAGAAAAGTTGCTCCGAAGCCCGAAAATGAATTCATGCAGAGATCACTCACCCACTCTGAGGATACAGATGAGCTGGATGCAGGCAACCAAGCGCCCGAGAATGAGCATGTCCAAATCGTCCCTCGTCTCCCTCCGACTGCCTGCCTGCCTGTCCGGCTGTCTCAGCCTCCTGCCCGCCCGCCGGCCTCCGCGGGCTGCTGCACCTCTGGCTCGCGGGGATCCGGCTCCGCGCCGCGACCGCGCCCGGCGGCCGCCCCCACGCCGCGGGCGGGACCAGCGGCGCTGGGAGCTGCGGGGCCGCGGCTCCGCTCAGCGCATGGCGGGGGCCGCCAGCGGCTGCGGGGGAGCGCGGGATGTGCGGTGTGCCCGGGCGGGTGCGTGTGCGCGGGTGTCCGCTTGATGTGTCTGTCGCGACTGTTTGTGTGTCGTGTGTGTGTGTGTGTGCGCACGCCGTGTATGTGTGTGCGCGGGGGGCGGAGACCGCGCTCCGCTGGGCGGGCGCGCACGTGTGTGCGCGTGTGAGAGTGTGTGTGTGTGTATGTGTGTGTGTGTGTGTGTGCGAGAGTGAGTGTGTGTATGTGAGAGTGTGTGTATGTGCGAGAGTGAGTGTGTGTATTAGTGTGTGTGTGCGCGCGTGTGAGAGTGTATATGTGTACGTGTGTGCGTGTGTGCGCGCTTGTGGGTGTGGATGGGGGTGCGGGGCTGGGGGTGCGTGAGCGGGGGTGTTGTGCGCGGCGAGTGCGGTGGTGCGCACCCGCGGGCGGGAGGAACAGAACCCCCTCCCCCGCCTCCTAAAAAGCAGGAGGGAGGGAACAGGGGCCTGGGGACCGAGAGGCGTTCACACCGCCGCGGGCAGAGCGTGGCCCCGGGGTCGAAGACTGGGACGCAGCTCCGGCGTTGGCTGAGGAGCAGCCCCCCAGACACCGCCAGCCTCCCCTTGCCGTGGGAAGAAAAGTTTATTTCTTTAACAAGATGTTTATAAGAGGCGGAGACAGGTGGTGGCTCCGGGCTTCTTGAGGTCTCCGAGGTCAGCGAGGTGCGCGGCCGGTCAGCGCAGCCTGGAGCGCTCGGAGCGCTGCGGCCGGGGGAGGGACCCTGATGGCAGCGGCGGCCCCGGGCCGTGGGTCGGGGCCCGGCCGCGGGCGCGCACGGCTATGGGCAGCCGTGGGAACGGAGCGGAGCCGCCTCTAAGGAGGTGCCGATTGCCGGCTGCTCCCTGCCCCGGGAACCGGAGGGTTTGCGTGTTCCCTGGGAACTGGAGTGGCAGCGGGGGAAGGGGCTGGAGCCGCGGAATATCATTATCCGACGGAGAAGTGGGTCAGGGCGCAGGCACTGGCACCGTTTTTTGCGGGAAGTCAAAACAAGACCAGGAAAAAAGAAAGCAAAACCCACCCAAACCAGAAATGAAACATGACGGCGAACAAACACCAGGTCCCGCGTATTGGGAAGTGCGGGCCGGCGGGCACCGGGGCGGGGGATGCAGAGCAGCACGCGTGGGCCTGGTGCGGCGCCCCAGCTGAGCCCCCCTTGCCCTGCACGCACCCCGACCGGCGGGGCGGGCACCCTGCCCTCTGAGCTGCGCCTGCCTTCCCACGGCCTTCCTGCGCCGAGCTGAGCTCTCATGGGAAAAGATAAGTGGGGGCTGGAAACACCCCTGGCAAACAGAAGAGATTTTGGGAGCGTTAGATGGTACACACGGTCCTCGGCTCCATCCCAGGCTCGCCGAAGTGCAGCCCAGGAGGCGTGTGAATGGTCCCTGTGTTTGTGATACTGTTTGCATCCGAGTGAAATGGTCTATTCTGCACGGATGTGATGCGACTTTTAATGGTGGGCAACTTAAGTGTAAAAACACTTGGTGCTTTATAGGTACCCTCCTCTACCGAGCCTCTCAGTCCTCAGGCACAGGGGCTGCATCTGCCAGCTTGTCCTTCAAAGAAGACAAAAAAACCATCCTGTGTATTTTTCATTTCAATTTCCACCTGCTCTACCTGGCTTTTTTGTTATGAGCCATCTTGACATTGAACAAAGTAGAAATTTCAGAGTGAACAAAAGTTAGAGGAGAAAGTGCCAAGATGCTCAAGCAGTCAATTGTATTTGGAAAGCAGACTGCAGATATGTCTTCTCATGCAAGGTCAGCATCTTTCAGTGTACTGCAGTGTAAATACAATAGGGGTTGGTTCATTAGGAGAAAACTTGAGTGACAGTTCATGCTAAATGGACTTTTGGCATCATGGGAAGAAACAAGCTTCATGTGCTGAGCTCCACCAATAGAAAACTATTTTAGGATTGTCCTAAGGGAAAATGTTAAAGATTTTAATCAGCTGATTTTCATTTTATTGAATGAACCTAAATGCCAGGAAAAAGCTATGTGATTTCCAAACCCATGCATAGACAAGCATGCACAAACACACTGATACACATTTGGAAGACAAGCTACTAATACAAATAGTCAATATATTTGAGATAAACTCCAGCTCCAACACCATTTTGCAATTGGCTTAGTTTTTTCAGTAGGAGTAAGAATAATACAATATTGCATGGCAGTATGCAGAGGTGTTATTTCAATATACAATATGTCGTAATATACAATATGTCATTGTAATGTACAGTATAAAGCCAGAGCCTGCAGTAATGCCTGACTCTCAGACTATAACTCTGCTTAGCTTTTCTCTCAAGATGATACGTAGATGTAACTCAGTTGTGTTGCTTCTGAGTATGCATGAGCTTGCAGCAACTTCTAGGTCCCTCGTCTATCCATGTTGGAACCAATTTTTGAGTAGTTTTATGACTTTTTAATCACCAGGTGCTCAGCTGTGGCCAGCTGCTCCGTGGTTTGTGACTGTCTGATAAGACTAAAGGACCTCCTCTTAACAGCTGCTAGCATGATTACCTGGTCAGGTACGTGCTGGAAAAGCTTTAGATAGGTCAGTGTATTTCTTTCTTACAGGGTTTCTTTAAGAATTCCCTTTTATTTATGCCATGATTAAGTTACCCATCATGAACACATCCACAATGAAGGGTAAGTCATTCACAGCATTTACAGAGGGTGCTACTATTTCCTAGTTTTCCACAGTAAATTACTACACAGGGAGAATCTGGACTGACATGGTTGTTATGCTGACAGTTAACTTTCAGTAGGTAATACACTATAATATTTTACGAGGTGCATGATAAACATTTATATTTAGCCTATAATTCTAACACCAGTGAATGTGTTAGACTCTGTAATTTCAAACCTTTGCATCAAAATATAGTCTCCTTCAAACATGGCCACAGATGCCTACACTTAGCAACTCACCTGCAGTTTTGTAGCCTGTAATACGGAGATAATTAGGATGGATTGGAAGGTTCATCTCTGGCCTTTCAGTGTGTGTGCATAGCTGGTCAGAATAAGAATTAAATTATAATATCCTGTTGTGATTATACTTTACAGCTGCTTTGAATAGGTGTCAGTGGTTTAGAAAATACGCAGGACAGAGGCCAAGTACTACAGTTCCTTTCTGGTTCTTGAGCTGAGGAAAGGCTGGGGAGAGAGCTCCCTGTGGAATAGGAAGCACTTGGCTGTGGTAGGGTGACGCTTCATCTTTGCCTTCAGCTGTCAGTTCATGATGTTTTAGCTTGTACAGTTACAAGCCAAATTCACAGAAATTAGTTTCTAAATAAACAAATGTGTAAAGAAAATAATGAACTAGCTCAAAACATGATTTGTATTACTTCTTCCACTCTCTCCTCTATGAAGTATAAATAACCCAGAACATATCACCGGAGCAAGCAGATCTGAAATGGACTTGTAGCTAACATTACAGATTTGTTTCTTTAAAACTTACTATTCTTATTGATGACTTAGCAATGAAAATATGACTTATTTTCCTCACTGTACTGTATAGATATGTTAGGGATTTTCATAAAGCTTTTTTTAGTACACAATATTTCTACTTGAACTTTTATGGTTAGCAAATCTTGATGAGAAACTGTTCCCTGTTTAGTTACTGTTTAAAACTTTTGAAAGACCTTTCCTTTTGTTTTCAAATTTCTTTAATGTTCAACTTTCTTTTCCCACCTGATGTTAAATATTTTCTTCAAATCTGTTCTTTTTATCAATTTCAGCATTTTTTTGTTAGGCTAAATGAACTTTTTCTCAGCATCGACACTGTAGTTTCCTTTGTATTGTGACAACCTTGTTAATTTCCAGAATGAGTCATTCCATGGTTCCTTTAGCTTTTAATTTTTTTTTTCTAGCTCTGAGTGCTTTATAGGTGCTTTTTCACAATAATGTCAATTTCTTGTAGCATTTTTCTTCTTTTCTTGTTTCCATTTCCAGTAATAACTTTGATATTTGTCAAATCCATTTTTGGGTTTTCATGCATCCTCTTCTCTTCTCTTCTCTTCTCTTCTCTTCTCTTCTCTTCTCTTCTCCTCTCTTCACTGGAGAAACCCACATGTACATTCAAAATATTAAAAAGGTGTGTTAAAACATGTGTTGTCCTGGCAGTGTCTGTCACTACCATCATTAGGAATATCGTTCAGATACACGATACAAAACCAAACCCCAAATTCATTAGGAATTGTGCTGAAATAAAATGTGTCAGATCTGTCAAGTTAAAGTATTCGTTTTCTTCAGAGCACTTGCTTATTGACATGGGTGTTTAATATTGAATACCCCTTTAGGTGGAGAAGTGTTAGCACAGGATCTCAAGGTTTTGTTTTGCTAATATTGATACAAAATGAAAGTAAACCTACTGGTTTTGTCTACCTCAATTTTGTTCGGCATGTTAGAGCGTCAAGATTATTCAAAACCTATTAACAAGTAAATACTTTTTTTTCATATTTTAAATGAATTCCATTTTTGAGCTCTATCTACTATTACTTTCATTTTTTAATTGGTCTGAGGCATTACTTTCCCAATTAATCTGCCTCCAAGAACACAAAAAGACAAGAAAAATGATTAGTTTGAAGCCCTTTCTTGTCCCTTTCCTAAAAGAGAAGATGTAACCCAATTTGGTTTTCAAAGCTAAGCAAAAGGGCAGTACATGTATATAATTTCCTCTCAGAAAAAGATCAAAACTTGACACTTTGACAGGAGCCAGGTGACATCAGACTCTTGGAAGTGTTGTGTGAGAGACAAAGTCTATTCACATAATCTGATTTTATTATTTTACTTCCCTGTAAGAACCAGTTGAAAAAAAGCTGAACTGCTAGATGCACTAAAAAAAGCAGGGTTTAAACTGTTTAGACCAGCTATCTGTCTGGTCTAGACATGGAAAAGGCTTCAACACCG